TTCGAAAGAACTCTTTATTTATGTAGGTTTGCACTTTTTTAAGTTACTTGTAAGATTTAAGTTATCATAGTAATCCTTTGAGTATGTTAAAACGCTACTTTGTTGATTAGTGCTCCGTTCAATAACGGGTCGCAATATTGTACACAATAACCAATTCTCGAACTGCCCTTACTGTTCAAAACAGTAGTTCAGAAAGCAAACAACTAATTAATTGTCAAAAATTTATTCTGCTATAAAATTTGCGCGTACTAACTTTCACAACAACAACAACAACAATCTCCTCAGCTAGCCGCGCATTCAGCTATTTATATTAAATTGAAAATGGAACCAACGAAACTTTGGAGTCTGGCGTGCCCGATTCATTTCGTAGATATTTGTGTGTAACATAATATCACAAAAAAAGGCTTTTAACTGTAGCAATTGTCTTTTTAAAGTTTGAACCTTGAACCATAAACCTTATACCTTGAACTACAAGTATTAATCGTTGGTTAGCTCCTGTCGGTAACATATGAGGGAAATTAGAACGATTTCGCCCGCAACTTGTAAAATTGTGCATTCTGTTCCTATCGAAATGCCGTTTTGGTTGAGCTATTTTTTGACAATTGCGTAAGTGTTGAAAAAATGTATGCATAAAATGCAATAATAATAATAATAATGCTAAAAATGACAAGTAAGTGCAATGTAGGATGTGGTTGGAAAATAATTGTTTTTTATAAAGGGTATGCTTTGACCTACATACGTGGAAGGATAATAATTACAGAGAGCCAAAGAGAGAAATAGATTTTTAGTGTGGATGAAGGCCAAACTGAGGGTGTGGGGAGAGAAAAAGGAAACGAAGATGTGATATTAACCTACGAGGAATTGGAAACCGGTAGTGAAACGTATTTGTAATCTGGAATCTGGAATTGAGGGTGGTTTGAGAACGGAGATAGTGTTGGGGGAAATTTTTTGGTAACTGTTGGTCGGGTAGTTATTGGCTCAATTTGCACGATAGTGCAAAACTCAGTGGAATAATTGTCCGGAGCGAGGAAGAGGTTTACAAGAAAACACGGTGACTGGTGGCAATTTTAGACATTGATTTCTGGAGAGAGTTGGATCTAGTTCAAGGAATGGAGGGATTTATTTGTTTTTTGATTTCAATTTATCTAATTAAAAAATCATTGTCACAATAAATCAATGTTTTCAATATCTGACGAGGTCATCAGAATAAAACTTAATTAATACGGTTTTAAAGAATTTAACCATTTAATTGCTTTGTATATTAAAAGTAACCTGTATATTTACAATGACTGAATATAAGAATCATATTTTTGTGCCAGAAAGTTTAATTCAGAATTTCAATAAATTTTCCAAATTCATAGGTCCATTAGTTACCAACTTTATTTCATGAAATGCGCACAACTAAATTTTAGGTGTTATCTACTTATACAGGTTGTACCAAATTTCGTGTTAAGTACAGAGATCTCACATTGGTAGAGAGTTGGTTAAATGGACAAAAATTATGCTCGAACTATAAAGTCAAAAAAACCAAAATTACTCCTTCTCTAAAGTTTCCTAAACATGGTGATAAATAACATACCTACGTGACGTTTGGCTTTAGAATCGTTATTTGGAGAGGTATTTGAAATCCAAAAAGACTTTCTTTAGGTAACTTTTCAGATGAATGTTCCTTATCATTAATACTTTATTCTATATTGATACCAACTTTTATTTTTCATACGGGAGCCATTACAAAGTTTTACGGCATCTAATATAAAAAATCTTGATTTCAAAATATGTATATATTATTAAAAAAAATCAAAAATAAGTGCTAAATTAAAAGAAAAAACATTTCAAGTAAAATTTTAGTCAATTTGAACATTTGTTATAGTTAAATTCGGGTTTATATTAAAGAAATTCGATTGTTCATGCATATTGCTATTATTAATACTTAATAAAATGTCACACGAAATGTTTTTCTTTTAATTTTGAATTTTTTTTAAAGATCTTTTATAAACATGAATTTTTTCTCTATTAGATGATATAAATAAGACTTTAAAATGGCTCTCATGTAAAAAACAAAAGTTGGTATCCATATAAAATAAAGTGTAATGAAATTTCATTTCCATCATCTAAAAGAACAGAAAAAATTCCCTAAAGAAAGTTTTTTTGAATTTCAAATACCGATTTTAGAGCCAAAAAAAATTATATTATTTTTCGCCACTTTTAGGAAACTTTAGGAAGGGGGTCAATTTTGTTTTTTGATTTTATTTAGATATAACTCCAGGATCAATTTTGTCAATTTAACCAACACTCTATCTATGCCAATAAGCGAGATCTCTGGACAAAGATACAACCTGTATAAGTAATTGTCCAATTCGAGAATTTAGGTTATTTAGAATTCAGAAGAAAATGGCTATTTTAATTTAAAGTACGTTGAAAATTCTTAGCAAAATATACCTAGATGTAAAAATATTCATGTACAAAGGAAGGTATATATGAAATTCATTTAAAGTTTTGAATTGATTTTCAATATGTACAGGGTGGCCGAATAAGAATGCGAGGTACTGTATCTGGGAACCTGTCCATCGTAGAAGCTTGCGGTAAAAAAAGTTATTACTAAAACGGCCACGAGAAAAACCTGGAAAATATTTTTAAGTTTCTGAAATCGCCGCTAGGGAGCGTAACTGCAATCTGAAATCTAAAAGTGATGTTTCTGTAAATTACGCTATATTAACCTAACAAAAAATGTCCGGTCTTTGAAGACGACGATAATCTGAACCTTTTTTGTTTAACAATTTTTCCGATATAGTGATTTAGTTTTATAAGCCGTTTGGCGTAACAAAGCGTTATTCACCTACTGTGACCACGGTCTAGGATTGTGCACGGAAGGTCAACACCTAAAAGGAAATTTAGAACGTCGCTGTGTAGTAAATGAATAGTGCAATTTCCTTACTTCAAATTTAAGCTTGCACTGTCATAATGGTGAAAATGGAAGTACTGCATATTGTGAAATTTAATCCAACTTGGTAAATTACACGAAACATGTGTACTATATAAATCACTTTTCCAACACCGAAGTTGAAACTGCTGATGTGCCCCCCGTCATACCTAACATGTCGGATTAAAATATCACCATATGTAATTAAGTACGTAGGAAAACATTCTGTTTCCTGTTTTTCGTTACTAATTGAAATTTGAAATGAACCCTTGACTCTTTAACAGAGTTTAATGTATGTGCTTGGATTGCGTTTTCATCAAGATACACACATGTTTAAAAACTGAAATGAAATTAAATGACCGGTCCATTTCGCAAAATTTCCACTCTAATTCCGCCTGTCTTTATTGCATGTTATTCCAGCACACAACTAATTAATGTGTTAGGATTTGAGACGTCATTTGTACCAGTATGCGTATAAATGTCATGTGCAAACTTTCCCTAACAGTCGGTAAGTGCTGAACTGAACATCGAAAAACGTAAGAGTTGCTCACAATCGCTGAACAAGCCATCAGTAGACCAAACTTCAGTGAAAGAATCGTGGCGTTTTACAGTATCCTACATTTTATCGATACTGTAAGTTGCAGGCGTACAAATCACGTCTGCCCTCGGGGTCACTTTTAAACTAATGTTCCGTATATTTAATTTGAGTAAACATCAAAAACTTCATGGACGCACGACCAATGGACGAGAAACGAAAGTGCAAATTACGAACAAACATTTCTCACAAACGGCAGATTTCCGACAGTAAAAAAAAAAGAAATATCCCGATCGCATCGGTTTCAGTTTATTGGTGTCGATAAAAAAGGGATGATTTAGAAATCGTTTGTTGGATTTTATAGGATTTCCTGTTATTTTTATGTTCGTCTTAGAAAATTTCGATTTCACGTTTCCTTTATAATGTTCTCCGCATTAACATAGAAAATAATATAAGTTCGTGTAAATCAAACTTGATTGACGAATAGGAAATTGAATTTTTTTAAAGGTCATTCGGTGAACTTAATCTAAGTGGCAGAGTTTAGGGATTTGATTACAACGTGACGTAAACAGTTTCCATTACATATCAATTTTTTCTATGGTGCAGATGAGATATACGAAAGTGGACAGTTAGAGCAACAAACAAAAGGTATAAGTGAGGAGCAATTAAATGAGCGAAAAGAGACAGAGCTTCAGGAAATGATGGCATAACGGCCGAAATGATAAAGAATTAGGAGTCAACTGGCATCAAAATATTAACAGGGTTGTTAAATAAAATATACAGGGTGTCCCGTGACTCGATGGACATAGCTTAACACCATATTCATTGGTCTATTTTAAGTCGAAATTGCCTTATACGCATTGTCCAAAACTCGATAATTAAGGGAATATTGAACAAAAACAATTACAGGGCATACTAGATTTGATTTATTGTACACTTAATATTACCCA